GTGTGATCCCCTTCTGCACCCTCTCATCCTGGTCTGGGGTGAAGCTCCTGTTCTTCCTGTGGGGATAAAGCCTTGAGCAAAGTCCCTGTTTCTCTGTGGTGCCGTGGACCTCAGGCTGGGAGTCGAGTTGGAGGGTAGAAGCCTGGCCTGAGAGAAAGGACAGTGGGTTATTTCCACGACATCCTCACGTGGAGAGGTGGGATCACCCAGGTGGATGTCCCTGGGATCTTGGACCCCTCCTTTGGCATGAGTTCAGACAGGTCCTGCTGTGGTACATGCTCGCTTGTACTATATTTCTCTTGCAGGAAGGGCTCTCCTGCCTCCTGTCAATGACTTTAGGTTTCCACCAGGTCCTGTGTGTGCAAATGCAATTTTACCTGCATCGTCTCTCCCTGCTCTCAGGGTCCAGAGCAGGATATTCCCTCATGCACCAATTCCTGGGGGCTGCTCCAGGGAGAGGTGGCTTTGGGGGGGGTTATTTCATCCCCCACATCAAAGGCTGGTGAAGGCAGATTTTTGTCATTCAGCCTCGTCACACCTTGCAGGGAGTTGCTGGTGCCCAGTTCAGGGCCCTCAAAGCTGCTGGGAAGGGTGGGAGCAGCAGCTTTGCAGCAGGGCAATCCACTTGTGTTGTGGCCCCGAAACCTAGAAAGAGCAGGCTGAGGTGGTGGAGGCTTTGACATTGCTCTGAACTGTGCTGAGGGCAGGACCTGGACCTGGTGTCCCTGTCCCTTGGTATCCCCAAAGGAGAGTCACTGCACCCTGCTGGGGCGTCCTCAGGCTGGGTGACCTGATCCCACTGGCCCTACCTCGAGCCAGGTTTGGACCCAAGAGTGTCAAGAACATCCTGCTGTGTCAGGTGCTGTCTGCAGAGAGGGGAGGGATTGATTCACCCTCAGAACAGGCCAAGAATGGGGTAAATTCATCAGGTAACTTACTTTCTGTGAGCTGTTTGACCAGTGTATTAATTATGAAGTAGTCTCCCCTGTAGAGTCAGGTGGCAGTGCAAGCCTTCAGGGGCCTTTCCACTTAATTATAAATATTAATTTGCACGTCAGCCAGCCAGCCAGCACCCTCCCTGCCCCAGATTTTGGGCTGAGATTAGTCTGTCTCAGCCGATCCCTCTCTCCACCCAGCACACTCTTTGCTGGGACAGCTTGTCTGCGTGTGCCTCTGCAGTGGTTCCCAAGGAAAATGGTTGAGGGATGCTCATTTTGGGGTGGGGGGATGAATCGAGGGTCAGTCTGATCATTTGGGTGTTCAGCCTTTGCTCGGGGTCCCCGGTGTGAAGCCCTTTTCAGCGTGCCCTGAACTGTGTGTGCTGTACCTGAGGGCTGCTGGTGGGCTGGGCTGGGCTGATGGGGATGGGAACCCAGCAATGAACGTCCCCTGGCACAGGCAGAGGAGGCAGAGTGAGTGCTGTCATGTAGGACAGTGCCTGAATTCAGTGATGACTCTGTGCTTTGTGTAGGCAGGGTCATTGAGCGTCACTCACAGTTTAATCTCCGCAGTCCCGAAGACCAGGGAGTCATTCAAAACATGATTATTCTTTCCTTTTACCTCTTTTTGCACCCCTGGGTGAAGAAATCCATAGGTGCAGGTCTTCATCTCGAGGCGAGGGCGTGTGTTCTGCTCAGCTGCTGGGAGCTGGAGCGGCGCTGAGGGCTGAGCATCGCTGTGCTGTCAGCTGGCCCCAAAGCCTGCAGGTGTGTCAGCCCCAGGGGGAGCCTCGAAAATAAATAAAATAAAATAATCATCCTGCTTGCAAACACAAAGCATCGGATTATTATTTTTTTTTCGCCCCTTGAAAGCGTGTTTTTGTCTGCCGATGATTGCTCACTATTCATTTATACTTTGGGGGGGGGATTAGCATATATTTCCCATCCTGCCTCCTCTCTCATTTGCATCCTTCCAAAAGCTCCTCTCTGCTCTTTTCTCCACCTGAAGTCTCTCTTCCCCCTTTTCTCTGAAGAAGTAAAACTAACCCCTTTGCCTGGGTGACCTATAAAAACGCCTTCACTTTTTTTTTTTCCCCTTCTTTTTTTCCTCCAGTACATATGATGAAAAGTATGAGATCATTGGGATTTTTTTAGCCCAAATCTGGCAGCTTTTTTCAAATAACTTGGATGGTGAGATGTAATTTTAGTTTGGGTCCTTGCCTAAAAATAAAGAATAATTATTAGCACATCAGACGTGGATATTGTAAGTGATCGAAAAGGGTTTAAATTGTTCTACAGATACCGGAGCTGCCACCCTGTATTAACATAAAGGTCTGTCACAGCCAGATCCCATCTCTCGGCTGTGCATCCCCAGGAGCTATAAGAATCCTTAATTGGGTTATATAGTTAAAAAAAAAATTAACAATAAGTATGATTAGAGGGTTAATAAACAATTGACAGGTGCAATGCTGAAGTCCGAAGCAGCGAGGTGTGTTCTGAATGTTGTATTATTTATTAGCAGTAATGTGATGGTGGTGTGTCTGCATGTACCAGCAAAGCCTGGTTATTGGGGAGAGGTTGTGTCTGTTGCTTAGAGCCATTCAAGGGCTTGGGAAAAACAGCCAGCAGCCGGGCTCCTGTGCCTGGAAGCTTGATTAGCTTTTTCCAGCTTCTTTAATAGGTCTAAAGGTGGTCCCAGGGCTCCTCAGACCCTGCTGGGAGGCTCTGGGACAGAGGGGTTTGCTGGGAGCAGCTCCAGTAGTGCATGCTCCCAGTGCATCCACTGTCATTGTTAGCCATGGTTGTGTAAGCAAAAGGATGTATGTGCAGGTGCCTATTTCGTAGTGCCGGCTCCTCCTTTGGTCACTGGTCAGGAGACGGGTCTGAGTGCAACCGCCTTGCTCTGGTGATCTGTCCAAACCTCCTTCCAAAACAGCTCGTGATGTCCCCCAGCGAGGACAAGGAGCATGTCACCTTGCCACAGAGGAGTCCCATTTCTTAGCAGCTAATTTAGAGCGCTGGGAAGTAGTGCCCTGGAATCGCCTGAACTTTGCCTGGAGTGCGGCAGCTCCAGAGCCCTTCAAACAAATCTGGGTTAGCGGAGGACTTCGCAGCCAGAGCCCTCCCAGGTGCTGCTCTGGCCCTGGGGAGGGGATGTGCGGTGGTGGGGCTGGGGGAAGTGATGGCTCCTCCTCCACTGCTTCATCCAGCTGGGTAGGACCACAGCCTGCAGTGATGTGTGGTGAGAGGAGAGAGCTGTCGATCCCCGTCTTGCTCTGCTGCCAGGAGCCTTCCAGCCCTTGGGAGAAGGGCTGGAGCCTGCATCCGGCCCAGGAGCATCCCTGGCCTCCTGGAGATGCTCAGTCCTGGCTGGAGTCAGAGCAGGGGGCTGCCCATGCCCCTTTGGGAGGTTTGGTTGCCCACCAGGTGTTGGGACGTGAGGAGCAAAAGCTGAAGAAGGGTCTTGAAGGTCTCCAGCATAACGTTGGCACAGTGTGTCCTCTGTGCTGGCATTTTGAGGAGTGCCGGGTTACCTTGCTCTCACTGGCAGGTTGTGTGAAAGGGATAAAAGTGCAGGTGCTCTTCTCTTTCCCTCATGCTGCTGAGTGGCTGTGCTTTATCATACTTATTGATTTTGATCTTACAACCAATTTAACAGTGCAGCTCTCCCCAGCCCTTGGGTGCTTCTGACTTAATTAAGTCCCTCTTCTGCTCTCCTGTCAGACCCATGGGCGGCGGGGGCAGTCATGGGCTGGGACAGTGAGATTGTGTTGAAAGGGCTCAGGGGAAAGGGAAAGTGCCATGAAGGGTAAAAAATTCCTGTGTATATCTGGGATAAGCAGTGTGATACACAGGGAGTTGTGGATGATGCGTCCCAGCTCTTGCTGGGGCCAGGCTTTGCAGCTGACCCCTTGAACCGGGGCAGGGAGGAAGGGGAGACCAGGAAAAGGAGCTGAACCAACCTGGTTTGCAGATGTGAGAGTGTTTTTGCTGGCAGGGTATCCTAGGAAACCCAGCCACCTTTCTGGAGGGACAGGTTGGAACCTGCCGTACCTTGGGGAGAGGGGGAGAGAAAGAGTGCTAATTGCTCAGCGCGCCAGAGAGCTGCTCTGGCCTGTAATTAGATGAATTAGTGGAACAATGACCCAATTTCCCTTGGTTTTTGGATTGCTGCAAACAACCCTGAGGTTGCTGCCTCCCTCTGTCCTGTTCTCCTCCCCATCCCCTGCTGCTCTACTCCTCCCCAGCACCTGGGGACAAAGCCCGGATGGGAGAGGGTTCTGCCAGCATCCCTAAGGCACAACTTCCCTGTTCCCAGAGCAGGTACAGGGGCCCTGAGTGTTTCCACTGCCGTACTCAGTATGCACCAACCCCCTTCTGCCCCAATTTGTTTTCTGGAGATGGGCTTGAAAAAAATTTTTGTTTTAAAGGAAAATATCTGGAGCCCTTCCTGTGCCTGCAGGTTGCCTTCCAAGGTCATCAAACTTTCATTACTATAGATTTTGGAATGTATGTGAGGTTCTCAGCTCCTTCTCTGCAGTCCCAGAGGTGGAACTCTAAGGAAGCTCCATGTGTGGAAAAAGCCAGAGCAGCTAATGGCTGGAGGTGCTGCCAGGGGAACGTGGGTGACCATCAGGGGAGTGACCCACATTTCAAGAGCACCATCTCTATTCCACATGCCACCTGCCTGGAAGGGAGGCTAATCCCTTGCAGCCAGGACAAGCACGATGTTGGCGGTGTTGAGACTCCAGAGTGCAATTGTATAGCATGGGGTGATGTGGGGCTGTCCCCAGCCATCCTGGCATGTGGGGGGGGGGGGCATTGGTGGGGGACTTCTGGGGCTGGGGGGCCCCTGGGTGACTTTGGCTGGTCACAGTTGGCTCCATGAGCTTTGATGCCAGCATCAAATAAGGCTGACTGACATGTGGGCCTTTGGGAGGTGCTGAATCTCTGTACCTGCCCAGGGCCACGGTCTTCCTTGTGTCTTCCCCCAGCTTTTGGCACTGAGGTGGCCAAGGACATTGCCTGGGATAACTCTGCTCTCTCCCTGTCTGCTCTCAGCATCCTCGCCACCGCTGGGACACACTTCAACACCCACGTGGACCTGCGGACGCTGCGGGCCGTGCGCGTGCTCAGGCCTCTGAAGCTTGTCTCGGGCATTCCCAGTAAGTTGGATGCTCCTGGTCTTCCTCTCAGGGTGTTTGCATCTGTCCCCAGCGTCCTTCAGAGGGAGATGGGTCCCTGGAGGGTGAAATCAAGGAAGAGGGGACAAACCTCCCGATGTAGTGGGAACTCTAGGGTGGCAGCTTTTGGTGTCCTCAGGTGGCATTGCCCCCTGCCCATCCCTCCCTATGCTGGCACAAGGCTGGACTTGGCAAAGCCCACTGGCAGGTCTGTTTCCCTGGCCAGAAGGCAGTGGGTGGATCCTTTCAGGACTGGGGTTTATTCAGGGGGAGATTTTTTTTTTTTTTTTTCCAAGATTTCTGCTGTTGGCACGGGGATAAATAAAGAAACTAGGCTACTGCTGGCTCCAGTCTTCCCATCCCTCCTGCCCTGGGCACCAGCAGGGCGGTGTGCTGGATCTATGCCTTATGGGCAGTGAGGTGGATGGAGCTGCGCTGGTCACATCCCACCAAGTCCAGGTGGGACAAGGGCAGGCAGGACACTAGAGTGGGGACCAGCTCCAGAAACAACCCTTCCCTCCTCGTGCCTTCCTTTGTGGCCTGGCTCTCCTTCCCTTGGGATGGTGCTTTCCTCCTGCCCAAAGGGATCCTCCAGGCTGTGCTGGCTTATTGCATCTCTCTGAGGATGACTGTCCTTCCTCTCTGCTCACTGTTCTTCTCTTGTCAAATGTGATATGGATGTGCTTCAGGTAGGGGGTTTGCATCACTGTTTTGAGCTGTGCCCTTTCTTTCCTTTCCCAGGCTTGCAGATTGTCTTGAAATCCATCATGAAGGCCATGGTGCCCCTTCTGCAGATTGGCTTGCTGCTCTTTTTTGCTATCCTCATGTTTGCCATCATTGGCCTGGAGTTCTACAGCGGGAAGCTGCACCGAGCCTGCTACACAAACAATTCAGGTAGGGAGAAGGGCTCTGCTCCCACTTTGCATCCTTTGGGTGGTAAAAAGCTGGGAAGAGCTGTCTCTTTGCCTCCTTTGCTTCCCTGCTGTGTGCTCACAGGTGAACTAGAGGAGCTGGACCCTCCCCATCCATGCGGGGTGCAGGGTTGCCCCCCAGGCTACGAATGCCGGGAGTGGATCGGTCCCAACGATGGGATCACGCAATTCGACAACATCCTTTTTGCTGTGTTGACCGTCTTCCAGTGCATCACCATGGAAGGGTGGACCACAGTTCTGTACAATGTGAGTAGAGTTGCTCTGGGGTCTCTTTGGGCATGGGGGTGGGGGAGCTGGAGACAGTATTTCTGTGTGCTGCAAACTCGTAAGATCCTGAGTTTCTTTTTTTTTGTGATGGGAATTGAGTTGGTCCTTCCCGTTTGGGCAGGAGATGCTGGACAGAGGCACGTGTTACATTCCTCCAGACAAAGGGAGCTCTAAGGGCTTGGTCCTCCAACTCACTGCAGAGAGCAAAACTTTATGAGCTTGGCCTGCAGTGATCTTCCTGCTTGAGGGCTGTCCCTGGGGAGGCATCCTTCCTTCCATCCTTCTCCTCCTGTGCTCCCCAGGGCAGCTCCATGAGAGGGATTGTGTTTTCTGGCCACTGCACATGTGCTCTCCCTGTACACCAGGCAGCAGATGTGCCTGCATCCCCATGGTAGGCCTGGGAAAGCCTTGGGGCTAGGCTTGGACTCCCTGCCCTGGAGAGTCCAGGACATTTCAGTGTCCAGCAGGGAGCTGGGATCTTTGATATTTGTGCTGATGGAGCAGGGAATGTCTGGGCTGGGTTCCTGTGGTTTGCAGCCGCTTGAAGTTGCTGATGGCCAAACCCTTGTGGTGCTCAGAGAGCAACTTGAGGGCAAAGCTGGAAGCAGGAAAAAAAGCTGCAGGCGATCCCAAAGTACAACATCGTTGTGGGCGACTGGCCATATAAGTATGTTTGAGTTTGTGGGCTTGAAGCAACCGTGCCTGTTCTGTTCCCAGCCTAATTTCAGCATCAATTTTGGCGTCACTGCACCGGGAATGTTTTTATACCCTGGTTCCCATAACGCCCAGAGTTTTGTAGAGTGGCATTGCTCTGCGGGAGGCAAATTGGATGGCATATGATGGGGAAGCGTGGCTCAGTGGTGACTCTGTCATCGGTAGAAAGGCTGCTTTTTAACCCCAAGGTAGGCCAAGGCACCAGGCTGCCAGTGTTGGGGCCCTTCCTCCCACTCGGCCCATCCCAGGGTGCTCCTGGGGGTGCAGGATGGTGTGTGTGGACAGATGGATTGTGAAACCTAGAGTGGAGTAGGAAAGAGAGAGTTCAAGGCAAAGGCTTGACCTTACCATGAGGTTTTCTTCTTCCTAAAGGAGATGGCAGTGTCAGAATACTGCTGCTTCAGTGGGGGAATTAAGCAGGATTGAACCACCTGAGCGTTCAGATCAAAAAAAGTATATTTCTTGTCTGCTTCTGGTGTGTCAATGGGATTAGAGACTTAACTATAGCACCTATTGCCCAGGCATAATTGAGTGGAGCAGGGAAGGTGATTTTCCAGTCCCAAGGGCAGCTGTTGCCTTCTCCCTCTGCCGTACACAGCCCACGTCTGTCTGTGGATTGTGCCAGCAACCTGCCCTCCACCTTGTTCTTGTGTTAATGACTGTCTCTCTGCAAAACTGCTTCCATCAGGGCTCCCCATGTCTCCTCCTTCCCATCCTTTGGTGCCTGCAGCAATTAGCAGCAGCGCTCCCTGTGCTAGAGCCCCAGTGGCAGTGTGTGAGGAGATGGTGAACTACACAGACAGGCAATTTCTGGTCTGATCAACTTCAAGCGTTTGTTTGAGTAAGTCTGGTCTCCTGTTGCTTGGGATGTCCTTGGTGGGAAGGCTGGAACTGATCTGCTCACTGTCTGAGATTTGCTGATTCATCAGCTGGGGCTTACTGGAGGGTGAGGATGGGAGATGATGCTGGGAGAACTGAAAACTGTGCTCCACAGGACCTACCCTACAGAATCCCCCGTTTACCACCACAGATGATAAACTGGGGTCTCTCTGGAGCCCCTGGGGCAGCCACAGCCCTGGTATCCAAGTAACTTTCCCAGCAGCAGTTGTAATGCTGGGCAAACATGCTCTGTCACTGTGTTCCCGATGGCCGGGACCGTAAATAAGGTACCTCCCTTTCCCACTTCTCTGTAAAGAACCAGCTCTTACTGACCTATAATGGAAAGGATTAGGGACCTTCCTTGGCTTGTAATTGAATGATGATTTGGGCCTTGGCATGGTAAAATGCTGCTGATTCACTTTGGGGGGTGGCAGGAGATGGTGTTCCCGGCACTACTGGGTGGCACCTCCCGCCCTCCCCACGAACACACGCTGTCTTTTAGAGTGTAAAAGGTTATGGGTGCTCTGTTCTTTTGCTGCTTGGAGAAAGAAAAATGGATTTCTGCCTTTTTTTTTTTTTTTTTTTTTTTTTTTAATGAAAAATAAGAGATGCCTGGGGTGGGATGTGGTCCCTAGGGGATGCCCGAAGAGGGCTGGGAAGCCACAGGAGTACTCTGCCAACAACTTCATAGCTTGGAGCAGCAAACCAGAGCAGGCTGCTGCTGCTAACCAGCATGGACCTTGCCCAGCACGTGCCCCAGGTTTGGGGGGCTCGGCAGGGGACTCTGCTTTCCCACTGGGGTAAAGCAATGGGAGGCTACGTCCTTGCAGATTAACACTGCAGGGGAGTGGGAGATGGCAGAAAAAACACTTTAGCAATCTCTCAAAGAAATTGCTTACTATAATATTCCCCTGTGTAACTGTATCATGATTTTAAGATCCATTTTTTCACAATTTTACCGGCTCTAGAAGCGTAGCTCCCGGAATTTGTAGGCAGCATCACGAAAAGCTAATCAGCCCCATGGTACTTTCCACGTGTGTTGTTTCATCTGTGTGTTTGCTTTTTGCCTTCTTTTCATCAGCCTTGCCTCTATGAAGGTAGAAATCACAGTATGGGTTAAGAATAGAGGAAAAAGCTTCAAACTGTGGGGTGTTATAACTTTTCCATTTCCTGTCCCCGGGACCCTGGTGGACATTGCTTTCTTTTAGAGGGGAGTTTTGGCTTTGTAGCTGTCTCTGTGGTCTGAAACAGGCTAAGGAGTATTTTGCTTTTCTTCTTGTACTGGAGCAGGTGCCCCTTCCCTGGGCTGGCTCGAGACCAAACCTGATTTCTGTAGGGACCAGAGGGAAATACAGTGCTGGCAAGGAGGCTTACTGTCCTATTTCTCCGCCTCTGCAGCCGTGCTGGCATGGGGCAGGAGCTGGGTTGCAGTTTTGTCATTAAATGGTGATGCTGTAGGGGTGGTGGGGCTGGTGAGGGGCTGTCAGTGTGTGCCATGGGCACAGGCTCACGGTGATGCTGGTGGCTTTGGATGCCCAGCCCAGCTCCCAGGTCCCAGAAAGCAAACTGGGCAGGAGTTTGAAATCGATATTTCCTCCAGAATGCCAGCTTGGGAGGCTGTATTTATTCACTGCAATTGTTTGTTTGCTTTCCTGTTTGGAATTGCTCGGCTACTGTGCTTTCAGGTAGCGAGGAGGAGCCTGGTTTGATGGGATCTGCCACTCTCCTTTCCCTCCCCACGTTAGCAGGAACTGAGATGGGAAGAAAAACACTCGTGGCAAGGATGTGCTGGGGGCTGTAGGCAGGTGGGCTCTGCAGGGAGAGGGGACAGCCCTGCCAGGCTCGTGTGCTCCTTTGCCCAGAGCACTGGGCAAACAGGTGACAGGATGAGAAGAAATGGTTTCCAACTGCACCAGGGGGAGGTTTAGATTGTCTTTTAGGAAAAATGCCTTCTCCAAAAGTGTTGTCAAGCAGTGGAACAGACTGCCCAGGGAAGTGGTGGGGTCATGATCCCTGGAGGGATTTGAAAGACATGTGAATGTGGCACTTAAGGACACGGTTTAGCAGTGAACACGGCATGCTGGGTTAATGGCTGGACTCAGTGATCTTAGAGGGTTTCTGCAAACTAAACAATTCTATAATTCTGTGGTTCCTGTTGGGTGTTTCCCTGCATGGATCTGGCTGTCAGCTTGAACTCCTCCTCCTCTTGTGGCACTAGGGATTGGGACCATAGAGAAGCATGAGGGCAAAACTGTACAGGGAGCCTTAGGAGATGCCAGGGCTGAGTGTCGGGAGCCTTCTGGGTGCTTTTGCAGCAGGAGGAGAGTGTTTGTTGGGGGAAAGAACATCAAGTCCTTGCCAGCTTCCAAAACACCTACCAAAATGCAGTGGTGGTGGGCAGAGCTGTAGGTCTCATATCCCCATGCAGAGCTGAACAGCTGCTGCAGAGAGCCAGGTGGCTGCAGAGGCACTGGTTAGGTGTGAAGTGTGAGCTGTGTGTGCAGAGACAGCAGCTGAGATGCCGCAAGAGCAGCTGTAAAACAGGAGCTGCTGCAAGGACGGGGGTTTGCAGCGAGTGTGACTCAACCACCATGTGCTCACAGCATGCTGAAGGTGCTGGGGCCAGGAGGGTGTGAGGGGAGGACATCCCAGTGTTTGGCATCTCTTCTGTAAGTGGATGAATCTCGCTGCGTGCAGAAGTTGAGGTGGGCACAGGGCTGGTTTTGTTTGCAAAGCACCAAACCTGAGATCACAGAATCACAGAGAGGTTTGGGTTGCAAGGGTGCTTTTAAAGATCATGTAGTTCCCACCCCCTGCCATGGGCAGGGACACCCTCCACTAGACCAGGTTGCTCCAAGCCCTGTCCAACCTGGGCTTGGACACTTCCAGGGAGGGGGCAGCCACAGCTTCTCTGGGCACCCTGTGCCAGGACCTTACCACCCTCCTTGTATAAAAATTCTTCCTTATGTAATTTAAATTCACTGTCCTTCTGTTTAAAATTGCTACCCCTTGTCCTATCACAACAGGCCCTCCTGAAATATTTGTCCTTATTTTCTTTACAAACCCTCTTTACATACTGAAGATCTTCTGAGATCTGCTGGAACCTGGTTTTCGAATGTGGTGACGCATCCACCCATTCTGAAACGGGGACTCTTCAGGCAGCCCTGATTTGGGGTGCTGGGAAAGGGAGGTGTGTTATCTCACTGGCCGTGTTGGAGCACATGGATCAGAAAGGGGAGCAGGGCTTGACTTTGCCCTTGTCGACCCTGGAGGAGACCAGAGGAGGAATCTGTTGCAAAACAGTTGTTTTTCCATGAGTGTGTGTGCAAAATTTGCATGTTGGCACAAATTCCTAAGGTGTTACAGTTGTCCCTTGGGATGCTCAG